AGGCCTATCTTCACATCCCAATTGAACGTCACAATGTCGATTTCTCCGCTTCTCATACAACCATCGTCACTTCCAATACAGAGCCATGCCCTTCGGCCTTTCATCCGCCCCCCCCCCGGACGTTTACAAAGATCCTACTGGCCTTGGCGGCACATCTTCGGCAAATTCCCATCAGGGTCCTTTGTTATTTGGACGATGTTCTCATCCTATCGTCCACACAGACTCCAGCCACACAGAACCTGGCTATAGTGTTCCAGTGCCTATGGCAACACGGCTTCTCCTTGAACCTGCCGAAGAGTCACTTGCGCCCCATCACCCGGATTTTTCATTTGGGCACAATTATACACTCCGTCAAGGGACAGGTCTTTCTGTCTCCGGAGCGTTGCCTCAGCCTAACGTCATTGATCTTTCAAATCCTGTCACTCCACTCCATTCCTCTCTTACTTCTGTCTCGCCTACTCGGCAAAATGATATCATACATCTCCATAGTTCGTGGGCACGATTTCATGGTCGACAACTCCAATGGTTCATGCTTCTGTACCAGAGATTCCGGCGCAGCAACTCCAACGCTCGGGTCTCATTACCGGCAGAGGTTCGTCAATCTCTTCGCTGGTGGATCTCGCCAGCTCTGACAAAGGGATGCTTGTTCCTGGAGCCACATCGCATCACGGTGACGCCCACATGCATTCCCGAGTTGCTCAAGGATCTTGGTCTCTGGCGGATCGCCAGAACGACATCAACTGGCTGGAGCTCCGCGCGGTTCGTCTTGCCCTGTGCCAATTTCAATCATCAGTGGCGGGTCACCATGTGCTAGTCCTAACGGACAATGTGACCACAATGGCACATGCAAACCGTGAAGGGGCACACGCTCGAGACCACTCATGGACGAGGCGACTCACTTACTGACCTGGGTGGAGACTTACCTTATTTCACTCCGAGCGCAGCACATCTCCGGGATGACGAATATAACAGCGGATTGGTTGATCAGGACGCAACTCGACCATTCAGAGTGGCGCCTTCACCCAGACATCTTCCGCGAGCTGTCCCATCGCTTCGGCTCTCCGGTCCTCAATCTTTTCGCGCGGTGAGACAACACCCAGTTACGTCGCTTCTTTGCCCGATATCCTTGCCCCCTCGCGGAGGGGATTGACGCCCTTGCCATCCCCTGGCCTCCGGGGTTACTGTATGCATTTCCCCCGATACCACTTATTCCCAGACTCATCCTCAAGATATTGGCCAAGAAAACAGACGTCCTACTGGTCGTCCCTCACTGGCCGCGCAGAGCCTGGTACGCGGACCTTCTGAATCTGTCTGTTGCCACTCCATAGAGGATTCCGGGGGACAGGATCTCTCTCAGCCAGGGGGTCATTCTGCACCCAGAGCCACAATGGCTGCAGTTGACCGCCTGGCACTTGAGAGGATCCTCCTGAGACAGGACAATGTCTCAGGGAAGGCTATCTCTACGATTCAGGCATCCAGTTGACCATCTACATGCCGCATCTATAATGCCACCTGGTCCACCTTCTGTGCATGGTGCGCTTGAGCCCACGTGGACCCTACCTCTGCATCCGTCTCTGAGATGCTGGACTTTCTTCAAGGTGGCCTGGACAAAGGTCTTGCCCCAAACACACTCCGTAGACATGTCGCGGCCTTGTGAACAGTTCTCTCGGCTGGGAACATTGTCGCAGGATGTAAGGATTCAGGGATTTCTGAGGGGAGCGGCAAACCTGTGTCCTCCAGTTATCCATCGATACCCAACCTGGGATCTGTCGCTAGTCCTACAGGTACTTACACAGCCTCCCTTTGAGCCACTGGGAGCCATCAGCTTACGCCTTCTTACCTTGAAGACTGCTTTTTTGGTCGCCATCACCTCGGCCCGCCATGTGCCCGAGCTGGCCGCCCTCTCTGTTCGGGAGGACCTCTGTATTTTCCTTCCCAACCGGGTGGTCCTGCGACTGGACCCGGCCTTCCTGCCCAAGATTAATACCCTCTACCATTGTGAGCAGGAATTGGTTCTCCCTGATTTCTGTCCGGATCCGAGGCATCCGCAAGAGGCCCAGTGGCACGCTTTGGACATCCGTAGAGCCTTGCACAGATATATCCGGAGGACTCAACATTTTCGCAAATTGGAAGCGCTATTTGTTTCTTTTCTGCCAGCGCCTATGGGTCAGAAGGTGTCCTCGTCCACCATCGGGAGATGGCTGAAGGCCTGCATCTCCAAGGCGTACTTGCTTCGGAACAAGCCTGTTCCGGGTATAATCTTACCTCACTCTACCCGGAGCGCGTCCACCACGGCAGTTTGAGCGACTCACGCCACTGTCGCTGACATTTGCAAGGCGGCCACATGGTCTTCGTTGAATTCTTTCATCTGCCACTATAGGGTTGACTCGTTTGCCTCGGCGGAAGCATCATTCGGACGACGTGTTCTGCAAGCAGTGTGTTCTTTTTCAAGTCACACATGAGCAGCCATTTCCCCCTTCCTATTTAGAACTCGCTTGGGCATATCCCTCGCTTTGGATTCTCCAAGCAGCGCGCTGGAGAACGGACGTTGCTTAGCTGAACGTCCCTTCTAGGCGCGCTGCTGGAGAATCCAACCCACCCGGTCCAGCTGCTGACCACTCTTGGACTCCATATGTCTCATTGAACTGTTTCTTCGTGAACAAAAACTGAGGCTCAGACGAGCAAGGGGGCGTGCCTGAAAAAATTTAAAGATACATACACTCAGTGCCGACTGCTAGACTGTTGAATAACCCTCACTTTGGATTCTCCAGCAGCGCACCTAGAAGGGACGTTTAGGTAAGCAACGTCCATTTTTTTTAAAAAAAAATCCCTACATTATGGTTGAATATTGTATAGGTGAAAGCATATGGAATTCTCCCTGTGGCAAGTCAGTGTATCTGTATGTTACAAAAAAGCACATAAATATAGCATGTGATGTACACAATTTTCTGGTTTAAAAAATGCCTCCAAATATGCAGGCGTGGAATAAAAATAAGAATATTTGTAAAAAACAAAACAAAAAACAAGGGCGGGATACAAATAGATAAATAAATATAAATATTGAATAACACACTCACTGCCTTTGTTGTAGTAACTAAAGTACTGTTAAAATAGAACCTTTGTTCTCATAAAAAATTTAACACTAGGTGGCAGAATGATTCTAGGTTTAATACAAAACATGCCTTGAAGTGTGATTATATTGTAACTGCAATATTAGTATTCAGTCCTAAGTGTGAAATAGTTGCTAACTACCCTTGCTCATTTTCATATAATATTCATAAAATAACAATTTGCAATGGCATTATGGCTTTTTATAAATATATTTGTAGACATGGTGATGGAAAGTACAATAACATGCTTTTTGATGGTAGTTTACTTGCCACTAGATGTCACTTTTGTTCTGTGAAATAGCAGATTGCTTTTTTATATTAAACTCTAAAATGCTTAAGAACTTGTTTTGATAGTAGCAGACATTTCAATTTATCAATGAGATTTTTTTAAAGAAAGGTATGCTTATGATTTAGTTAAAAGAAAATACTTGCCTGATATAGATGTCTTAATTCTTTTACTTATAATACCTTATTTTTAAATTCTGGATACTGTGAATAATGGGGAAGAAAAAAAAATCAGAATATAGAATGTTAGTTAGAAGAGACCTTGGAGCAGGAGATTCTATACCATTTCAGACAAAGAGTTGTCCAATCTATTGTTAAAAACCTCCAGGGATGGAGCTCCCACAGCTTCTGGAGACAAGCCATTCCACTGATTAATTGTCTTCATTGTCAGCAAATTTCTCATTAGTTCTAGATTGGATCTTTCTTTGATAAGTTTCCATCTGTTACTTTTTGTTCTGCCCTCAGGTGCTTTGAAGAAGAGGTCGATCCTCTCTTCTCCATGCCCCTTAAATACTGGAAGACGGCTATCATGTCACCCATAGTTCTTCTCTTTGTTAGACAAGACATACCAAGTTCACAGAATTTCAATAAATATTTGTTTGCATTGTGTTTAGTATTAAAATAAAAATAGATGCATTATTAATATAATGTAAAAAATATAGAACAGTGAAATATTCACTCGGAAATAAACTTGAACTTTCAGACTTTTGAATTTAAAATTCAAAGTCATTAGTTGAAAGGAAGAATGCAAAATTCTTTGTTTATAAAACAGTATAATTTGGGTTTCGGTAGCACATCTGCTTATGTTAAAACTACAGATTTTTAAAAATAATGTAGAAGTCAAGTCATTTGAGCATACAAATTTCATGTCAAGATGCAGAAGTTGATAGAATTGGGTTTTTAGTAGCATTTCTGAATTGAATTAGAGATAGGAATATGTCAGCATGAAACTAAAAGAATGATAACTTTGGGTCAGTAAAATAAAGGCAAAGCTGAACTAGTTTGAAGTCATTGATAATATTTTTGGCAACTTCTGTTGGATCTTGTCTTGGCTTAGAAGGTAAGCTCAGATCTAATCAGTACTTGGTCACCAGGGCTGCGGGATAGGCTAGAAAGGCAATGGCAAATCATCGTATATTATTGCTATGTAGTTGCCAGTGAAAATTGACTGAAAGAAGACATGGGCAGCTTTTTGAAATTTCAGTTGATTCACAATATGGTACGTATATTAACTGGTGTATAATTTTATGCAGGTTTTCCCTTAATGGATAAATTGCTATAGGGGGGAAATGGAGTTTTGACCTATTTAATAGATCATATGCAAGAGACATTAATAAGAATTTCCAACTGATAGATGCTAAATTTTGTAACTATAACCATTTTTCTGAATTTGTATTTCTATTCAATTTATTCTTTATTGAAATTAGTTTTACTGAAATTAATATTGGTCATAAGTATTCATAAAAAATCATTAATATAATTGAAAAATCAATTGTAATGAGTGATGAGTCAATACAAAATGCTTGCATATACCTCTGTTCCTCTTTTGACTGTATTTAAATTATTAAAAGAGACTGTTTTGAATAACAAAATTGTCTGTTACAGGTGCAAATACTGGCACTATGATGAAAACCTTCTCACCTCCAGCGTTATCATTGTCTTCCATAATGAAGGGTGGTCTACACTCATGCGGACAGTTCATAGTGTAATTAAAAGAACTCCAAGAAAATATCTGGCTGAAATTGTTTTAATTGATGATTTCAGCAATAAAGGTAAATGCATTTAACATTAGAAACCAAGGTTGGATATCACTATCTAGAAAATATGAGTAGCAGAAATACTGAGCTGATATCCAGCTCTTTCTGTTCCTATTTAGAATGTAACTTGAGGAATATTGGGCTCTTAATCTTAAAATGTCACAGAATGCTTGTCATTGTGACTGTATGAATTTGTGTTCTTTGTATTGCCCATAAATATCATTTAGATGAAATAAGTTCTTTATAAGTTCTAGGTCTTTATAAATATTTTATTATTCAATTATTTTGCACTGCATTATATGTTGCTACAATATGAACTTCTAAATAAGGTTTTAATTTGATAAATAATGAGATAATTAGGTATTTTCAATTTTGAGTTATATTGTGTGAATGAATTTAATTGAATTGGATAAGTTAATGGAATTGGTTAATGGTGGATCCAGTGGATATCCTAAATCAATAACCTTTTCAGGAAGAGTTAATAAGAATAGTCCTTGACTTAACAACCACAGTTGAGCCCAAAATTTGTTGCGAAGTGAAACAGTTGTTATTTATCAGTTTTGCCCATTTTATGATCTGTCTTGTCACAGTTATGTGAATTGCTGCAGTTCTTAAGTTAATATCACAATTGTTAAGTAAACATATTCCCCATTGACTTGGTCAGAAGGTTGCAAAAGGTGATCACATGACCTCAGCACACTATAACCATCATAAATATGAACCAGTTGCCAAGTGTGCAAATTTTGATCACGTGACAATGAGGATGCTGTAATGGTCATAAGTGACTTTTTTCAATGCCATTGTAACTTCAAACAGCCACTAAATGAATGATTGTAAATTGAGGACTACCTGTAGATAGCTGCATGTACAGTTAGACATATTTCATTAGATGTTTTTAAGATATAGTATGAAGAATTTGGGAAGATTATAGCAGTCAAACCATGTAGATGACTAATTAAATAATATCATACATATTTCAGATATTGCATTTTCTTGCTGAAATAGTGCCTATTGCAGTTGGGAGGATATGCTTATCTCCTTCAAAATCCCAATTCATAATTCCTTGCTACACTGAACAGTTAAGAGACTACACAGAATTATGAATGATCATTTTAATATAGTATTTTAAACATAGCATTCCAGTAAAAAAATAGTAATCAATGTAAATATTGCCTTGTATTTTTAATTATCATAAGAGACATAGAGTCATGAGAAAAAGTAAGTACATCCCATGTAAAGATCTGTTTTTCTTGTTTAACATATTTATTTAGCAAATTTATATTGCTGCCCATCTCATAAAAAGTGACTCTGGGGGCTTAAAAGCAAAATACCAACCATATCACAATATATAAAAAAAATCAGACATAAAGAACAACGAAAAAAAAGAAAACACAAAGGAATAAAACATAAAAACAGAATAGCTGGTGGGCAATCATAATTTAGCCTTATTCAAGCATATTGCAGGCTCACCAAGGGATCCCCGGGGTTGATGGAACAATCAGGTTTTCAAGGCTTTCTGGAAGGTGAACCTCATCACAAGGGAAATGATATGTTCTTTAGCTGAAATGGCGATCCTGGGTCCCACCAGATAGAACTCCTTTGCGCAGGACCTGGAGCATAGCTCTTCTGATGATGGGATGGATAGATGTATCCAAAATAATATCTCTCGAATAACCTAGCACCCAGAAGCAAACTGGCAATTAGTGCAGCTCATGAAAGAGATACACATAACTGCCCACACAGCCACATTCATTGCTAGCTGAAGCTTCAGATGCTCTTCAATGTCAGACAATGAAAGGCGAGATTTATACAATCTGAAGAGAAACCAGAGTATGAATCGATTAACTTTATTGATTAAAAATAGGGAAGAATCAGAATACTTTAAAATATGGAATTATTTTTATTCTTGTTTGCAAAAGAGATATAAATGATTAATTTTATAAATATGTATAAAAAACCTGATAGTAAGAATATGATTATAGTAATGAATTTGTACAGTGGTTTTGAAGACGACTAAGACAGCAGAAACTGTTGGAACAAGAAGAATAAAATGAACTGAAGAATTCAACACCGAGATGTCACAGGGGAGGGCTGATTGATGTTTTAAATGTTTGTTTGTTTAAAAAATAATAATAAAAACTTTATTTAAAAAAATGTCAGACAATGGTAGGCAGTTACAAGAAATACCTACTTGAAGTAGTTTCTGGGGAGGGGGAATACCAAGTATTAGAACCAAGGATATATTTGCGAGACCACCTTCTGCCACCAATAACCTCCCATCGGCCCCACAGAGGCCGACTGACGACCCCCAGGGGGAGGGCCTTCTCTGTGGGGGCACCCGCCCTCTAGAACGAGCTACCCCCAGGAATACGACTAATCCCGGACCTCCGGACCGTCCGTCGAGCTTTGAAGACCTTCCTATTCCAGCAAGCTGGGCTGGCTTGAAATTTTTAAAGGGTTTTAAGGGGTAATGGGTTTTAAATATTTCGGGAAGCCAATTGGATTTAATTCTGTTTTAAATTATTTTAAATTTTGTATTGTATGTATTTTAATCTGGCTGTGCACCGGTATACAAATTTAAAAATAATAATAATAATAATAATAATAATAATAATAATAATAATAATAACTTTTACATAGAAATAGCTTATCTGTTTATTATTTTGAATGTGGATGATTGCAAAGCCAGTTTTCATAGTGTCTTTACTCAAGTGCATCATTTTTATCTTTGAATTTAAAAATAACCTTTTGACAGATGGTTTGACATTATCTTTAAGCATCCTCTGGTACAATGAAGAATTTGTAGTTGATTCTCTGATGTAATTGCCCAGTTCATGATACAGCAGAGCAGCTCCAAAACAACATTTCCATCACCATGCTTTACAGTTTTATCAATTTATTCTAGTGGAATGCTGTCTTTGTTTTTCACCAATTGACATAATTCACCAGTTGTTTGGTGATCTTTTATTTTATTTATTTATTTATTTATTATATTTCTATACTGCCTTTCTCCCGTAGGACTCAAGGCGGTGTACAGTCAAGAAAAATATAGACACACAAACATCATAAAATTGCTAATTAAAATTATTACTTAGTTTGGTCAATTAAATAAAACCCAGAATTAGATAACATTTAAAAAATCATTCACATGTTTGTATGTTTAGCCCTGCCTGTTGGAACATCAGGGTCTTGAGGGCACGGCGGAAAGCACGGAGATCAGGGATATTCCGTATCTCTGGGGGGCAGTTCATTCCAAAGGGTTGGAGCCCCCACAGAGAAGGCCCTCCCCCTGGGAGTCGCCAGTCGACATAATTTGATTGACGGTACCCTGAGTAGTCCCTCCCTGTGAGAACGAACTGGTCGGTGGGAGGCTATTGGTGGCAAAAGACGGTCTTGTAGGTACCCAGGTCCTAAGCCATGGAGCGCTTTAAAGGTGATAACTAACACCTTGAATCGCACCCGGAAGACCACCGGGAGCCAGTGCAGCTCGCGTAGGAGAGGTGTTACATGGGCGTAACGAGCTGCGCCCATAATCATCCGTGCGGCTACGTTCTGGACCAGTTGGAGCCTCCGGGTGCTTTTCAAGGGGAGCCCCATGTAGAGAGCATTACAGTAGTCCATACGGGAGGTAACTAGAGCATGAGTGACCGTGCGCAAGGCGTCCCGATCCAGAAAGGGACGCAACTGGCGGATCAGGCGAACCTGATAAAAGGCACCCCTGGCCACGGCCGTCAAATGATCTTCTAAAGATAACCGTGAATCCAGGAGGACACCCAAGTTGCGGGCCCTCTCTGTGGGGAGCAAGATCTCATCCCCTATTGTCAGTGATGGTACCAGCTGACTATACCGGGACGCCGGAAGCCACAGCCACTCGGTCTTGGAGGGGTTGAGTCTGAGCTTGTTTCTCCCCATCCAGATCCGCACGGCCTCCAGGCAATGGGACATCACAGCAAGGGCATCATTGGGGTGGTCTGGGGTGGAGATGTATAGCTGTGTGTCATCAGCATACTGATGAACACTCACCCCAAAACCACGGATGATCTCACCTAGCGGTTTTACATAAATGTTGAACAGAAGGGGTGAGAGGACTGACCCTTGCGGCACCCCACAAATAAGGTGCCTCGAGGTCGACCTCTGCCCCCCTGCCAACACAAACTGCGAACGGTCAGAGAGGAAGGAGGAGAACCACTGAAGCACGGTGCCCCCTATTCCTAACCCCTCCAGCCGGTGCAGTAAGATACCATGGTCGATGGGATCAAAAGCCGCTGAGAGATCTAATAGGACCAGGATAGAGGAGCAACCTCTGTCCCGAGCCCTCCAGAGATCATCCACCAATGCGACCAATGCCGTTTCCGTGCTGTATCGTGACCTGAAGCCGGACTGGAACGGATCCAGATAGACAACTTCATCCAGGTATCGGGGTAGTTGTCGTGCCACCACACTCTCAACAACCTTCGCAACAAAGCGAAGATTGGAGACTGGACGATAATTTGATAATATAGCCGGGTCCAGGGAAGGCTTCTTGAGGAGGGGCTTCACAACCGCCTCTTTCAAGGCAGCGGGAAAGACACCCTCACTCAGAGAAGCATTTATAATCCCCTGGAGCCAGCCTCGTGTAACCTCCCGGGAGGCCAGTACCAACCAGGAGGGACACGGGTCCAATAAACATGTGGCAGCGTTAAGCTTGCCCAGAATCCTGTCCACGTCCTCAGGAGCCACAGAGTCAAACTCTTCCCAGATAACGCTCTCAAGACCTGCCCCCGTCTCCTCCCCTAGATCTACCCAATCGGAGTCCAGGCCTTCCCGAATCTGAGCGACTTTATCATGCAGAAATTGTACAAAATCCTCAGCTCGACCCTTTAAGGGATCTTCCCGTACCCCCACCTGAAGTAGGGAGCGGGTCACCCTAAACAGCGCAGCTGGGCGGTTCTCTGCAGATGCAATAAGAGCGGAGACGTAGCTAGACTTCGCCGCTCTTATCGCCACTAGGTAGGTCTTAATATAAGATCTCACCTGTGTTCGGTCAGATTCAGATCGGCTTGTCCTCCAATTGCTCTCCAGGCGTCTTTTCCGACGCTTCATCTCTCTCAGCTCCTCGGAAAACCAAGGAGCTAGACGAGATCGGCATCGGGTCAGAGGCCTCAAAGGCACGACGCGGTCCAAGGCCCCAGTAGCCGCCCTGTCCCAGGCGACCACCAGGTCCTCAGTCGAGTCGTGAGCCAGAGTCTCAGGAAATGGCCCAAGCTCCATCAGGAACCTTTCGGGGTCCATCAGGCACCTGGGACGGAACCATTTGGTTGGTTCCCTCTCCCTGCGGTGGGTGGAAGTGACTTGAAAGTCCATGTGAAGGAGAGAATGATCAGACCATGACAAGGGCTTGATGTCTATATCCCCTATTCTTAGATCATTCAGCCACTGATCAGAGACAAAAATCAAGTCCAGAGTGTGATTCCCCAAGTGGGTGGGGCCTTGAACTACCTGGGTCAGGTCCATGGCCGTCATGGAAGCCATGAACTCCCGAGCCGTCTCCGACATCTAACCAGCAGATGGCAGGTTAAAATCCCCCATAACAATAAGTCTGGGGGTTTCCACCGCCACCCCGGCTATAATGTCGAGCAGCTCAGGCAGGACCGCTGTTACGTGGCAGGGAGCCAGGTATGCAATCAGTAGGCCCATCTGAATCCCCCGACCCCACTTCACAAGGAGGGACTTACATCCAGCTATCTGAGGAACAGTGGCCTCCCTCGGGCAAAGACTTTCTCTAATTATTGCTGCCACTCCCCCACCTCTTCCTAGACTCATAGGCATCTATAATCTTCCTGAAGTTATTGGAGAGCTCGTTTGAGCAGGGCATGGTGACGACACAACTTCAGCAACAAACAACAAATGAAACTAAATGTCTGAGATTTTAAGTTCCTTCGGATCCTCTCTTAAGACTGTTCTAATCATTTACACTTCATCTGGTGCACTTGATTATAATTTTAGGCATTTGAGGTAGTGATAAATATGTTTACTTAAAGTGTACTTTTTCATCATGTAAGGTGTACTTACTTTTTCCACATGCAAATATTTAAGTGACACACATTATGTAAATAGTGCATTACATTTGTTATATCCCTTTATTAATATAATTGAAATAAGGATCAAATATCTATATCTTGAAAGATGTTGAAAGAATAAAAAATGTTAGACAGTGTCGTCTTAGTTTTTTACATGTCTATGTATTGAAGGTATTTTAAGGATCCTAGAATCTTTTGTTTTCAGGATCGGATGTACTAATAAATTGTAGGTACTAATATATACTCTTATCCCATCTTGATTGCTAATAAATGAAGCATTTTATTTTGTGAATTAAAGTCTTGATGATTTGAGAGGGGTGGTGTATGTCAGAGAGCAGCTATAGTATTTTATCACTCTTCTGCTGTCAATTGAGTCTATTTTACACTGGTAAGAAGCCTAATTAAAAAATGAAATCTAACACCATTGTTTTAAAATGGCATATATACATTTGGGACATGTCTAGAAAATTGGTTAGTGTTTCTTTTGCTTTTCTGTTGGTAAAAGATTTATAATATAAGGATATAATATATGCCCATGATATATCATAGGTTAATTTTTCAATGTTACAATGTTACATTTTCAATGTTGCCTTTCTGTTTTGGTCTGTGCTTGTGAAATAATCAAGAAATAATTCTTAAGTGAGCTTGCAGCTATACCAAATTTACATAATAAATTTGACATCCTTAACTTTTGGAGAATAATCAAGAAACAATTCTTAAATAAATGTACAGTTATCAGTAAATATATCTAAATTACACATTGAATCTGACATCCTTGATTTTTGGGGAATGTAGATATTTAGTCAAATATATGTTTGTTTTTAATATAGATATAATTTGTATTGTTAGCTCAACCTTAAATATTTATAACATACGTGGAAACCTCTTTTTATCATTTGATAGAACACTTAAAAGAAAGACTAGAGGATTATATTAAGCAGTGGAATGGCCTTGTAAAGATTTTTCGAAATGAAAGGAGAGAAGGTTTAATTCAAGCTAGAAGCATTGGAGCCCAGAAGGCTAAACTTGGAAAGGTAGATTACTGTTTGCTAAATAAAATCCTTCTTTCCATATAGTCTCTATTTTGCTCTTAACCGATATTAATCCACTTTATTATTGTAACCACAGTTCTTAATTGCAAAATTACATTTTAAAAAATAAACTCAACATGTATTTTTATAAGAAAATATAAACTAAATTGAAATCTCCTTTCCTCTTTGTTTTTTAAAGGTTTTAATTTATCTTGATGCCCACTGTGAGGTGGCACTAAACTGGTATGTGCCACTAATAGCTCCTATATCTAAAGACAGGTAATAATTTGCTTATTTCTATCCCTCAGGAATCCTTTCAACATTGTAATCTTGTAGTATCCCAGACAGATAATCATTTTTTTTTTAAACGGGTAATTTTCTAACAAATTTTTTCAGCTGCCCAAATTCCATGTTTTCCCGAAAATAAGACATGTCTGGATAATAAGCCCAATTGGGCTTTTCAGCACATGCAATAAGCCATCCCCCGCAAAATAAGCCTCCCACCAACTACTTAAATGCATGCACAGCCGGTCCCGCCATTTCCTCTGGTTGCTTGCCGCGCAACCAAAATGAGTTGAGGAAGGCTGGGGGGGAAAGGGGGGGACATGCCCTCCCCTCCCTGTTCTTCATGCCGGCTGAGCAGCCCAACACATCCCACCCCACCCCAATGGCAATGGCAGCCTGGCTGCTTCCCTTCCCCGCCGTCTCTTTATTGAGAGGGGTGGCAGGTGGGATGGGGGAGAAGCAAGACGTGGAGTGAGATATGGCTCCCCTTGTCGTCTCTTCTTTCCCCCCCCCCTCACCGGATGTGGCAGGGCTCCTGCCCCTTGCTTAGCCACCCGCTCCCTTTAGCAATGCTAAGCGAGGAGCAGGAGTCCTGCCATGCCCGGCGAGGGGGGGAGAAGAGATGGCAAGGGGAGCCACATTTCGCTTCACGCATCTTGCTTCTCCCCTGCCCCATCTGCCACCCCTCTCGATAAAGAGACTGCAGGGAAGGGAAGCAGCCAGGCTGCCATTGCCATTGGGGTGGGGTGAGACACGTTGGGCCATGAGATGCATGTCTTACCTTTCAAGCTCTGTTGCTTTCCTCGCCGTTGTGTAAAAGAAAACTTCTCGCGAGTTCAAGAAGTTTGATTGAACTCGTGAGAAGAGATTTTTTTACAACGTGTTTCCCTGGACACAACGACGAGGAACGCGACGGAGCTGGAAAAGTAAGATGTGTGTTCCGCTTCCCATCCGTCCTACCTGCCACCCCCAAATTGCATTCCTAAAGGGAGCGGGTGGCTAAGCGAGGGGCAGGAGCCCTGTCATGCCCGGCGAGAGAGGGGAGAAGAGACGGCAAGGGTAGCCACGTCTCACTCCACGCGTCTCACTTTTCCCCCGCCCCACCTGCCACCCCTCTCGATAAAGAGACTGCGGGGAAGGGAAGCAGCTGTTGCCACTGGGGTGGGGTGGGTTGTGTTGGGCCGCTCACCTGGCGTGAAGAACAGGGAGGGGAGGTTACAGTAGTGACGGGACATCCCGCCTCCTGCACCCCCAAAATAATAAGACACCCCCTCCCCTGATAATAAGGCCAAGCCCTTATTTAAGGGGGTCAAAAGAAAACAAGACCCTGTCTTATTTTCGGGGAAACACGGTAGAAGTTTGCAAGTTGGCTGATAAAACTATGCTTTCTCTACAAGACTAATTTAGGAAAAATACTTAACAATTTTTATCTAAAGTATACTTAGCACTGTAAATAGTTTAAAGTTCTGTTATTACCTAAAGACATTAATTGCATAATTGATTTCACTTGTAATGCAAACAGTTGACAAGTTAATATCCATATTTACACAAACGAAGGCTACATTGAAATGAAGAATAAAAATCTAAGAAAGTAGTCCTCAATGCGCAAAGCAGAATTGCATATGAATTGTCAGAAATAAAATATATTATTTAAATTGTTCCCTCTCTTTCCTTTTAAATAAGTAGTTTGGGTAATTACAGCAGATCACTAGTTTTTGTTTCACAGTGTTTAGAATTCATAAATGTATCTGTTAAAATAGTATATTTGTTAGCTTTAAATCAGGCCTAATGTTTTAAAAAAATGCATGACATGTTTAAAAATGTATTTGTTAAAATAATATATTTGCAAGCTTTATATTGTTTTTTTTTAAATCGATGACATGTTTAAGAAGCTGGCAAAACCACTTGACAGTCCCCCTGCCTCATGAAATCAAACAAGACAGAGGCGTTAAACAGCACAATACCACATAGTCCAGTAAAACGTGCAATTTACATCATTCCCTTTGACAATTAATTTTCATGAATCTATGCAGATAAAGATAAACATATTCTCAACATTAATTTGGATTAATTCTGTTAATTTATAATCTCTGTTCCTCAGTTTTGTTTTCTAGGAAAAGTAAGTGTATATCTGTGTACTGTATTTATTCAAACAATATTTGGGTAAGGCATTAAAGATAGTGGGTAATCTATTAGATTAGACAGCTTAACCTTGTCTCTTCCCCTTCCATAAATATTTCAGAACTACATGCACTGTGCCTCTAATAGATTACATAGATGGGAATGACTATTCTATTGAACCACAGCAAGGCGGGGATGAAGATGGCTTTGCCAGAGGGGCCTGGGACTGGAGCTTGCTATGGAAACGTATTCCATTAAGCCACAAGGAAAAGGCAAAAAGAAAATATAAAACTGAGCCATATCGGTAAAGAACATTGTTTTGTTCTATTGATCTTTGTTAATTCATGCTTACCTAAATTCTTTCATTTTTCCCCCTTTCTTTTCCATGAACCATGGTTCGTTTAAATGTGCCATATGCCTTCCTTCATCCTCACCATCATCATCCAAAATCCTGCAGAACCACATGTACTGTGCCGCTTATAGATGTCATAGATGGCAACACTTATAATATTGTACCCCAAGGGGGTGGTGATGAAGATGGGTTTGCTAGAGGAGCATGGGATTGGAGCATGCTCTGGAAGAGGGTTCCCCTGACCAAACGTGAGAAGGCAATGAGAAAGACAAAAACTGAGCCGTATCGGTAATCACTAAATGGCTTAAATGTTTTTCTTTTTCTTAAGGATGTACTGACCTATTAAATACTTGCATGATCTTCCATTCTTAAAAATAATGCTTTAAAATAAGCCCTATCTTTTTTCACTAACCTGTGATCAAGCATTTCTAATATAACTAAATTAACTTTTCCAACTTGTCTATAGTATGCTTTATTCAATTTTCTAAGCAACATGTAATACATAATTGATGCTTTAGGAATTGGTTAGAATGGATGTTGCAATTTGCACATCCTTCAGATTATTAATGTCTCCTATTTCAGTGCATGATTATTATTCTTGTTGACTAGAAAAGTAATGAAGCAGTTCAGGCATCAAAATGGGAAATAGCAAAGCATGTTGGTATCAGTGTAAGCTTGCTGCCCTTCTGACATCTTGGGCCTGTTTCCAGTGTATTGAATTGCCTTATATATTATTTTACTTTGCATTGTATATTCTAACACGTTTGAATGTCATTGAGATTAGTTTCAATTACTTAGTAGTTGTGGGATAAAAATATTCTGTTACGCTATGCTGAAAGAGAAATCATAACAGAAATTATGCTTGCAGCTATTGCCCAGTTTTTTATTCAGTGCTGGGCCTACCCCAAAAGAAAATAGAGAACATATCCAGGGCAAAGAGTTTTGACAAAGTTACTCCTGCAGAACAGCTGTGTGGCAGGAGAACACCTTGGACAGAGCTCTCTCAAGCTTGGTGTCAGGAGAAGAGTTGCCCAGATTAATTGAAGTATTATTAACACTGATGACAACAAATTGCATGATACATTTGCTGTAAATATTTTGATTTTGTTGATTTTTACAATTCCCTTTACTTTGTTTTTACAAATAAAATGGATGTTCAAAAAGAAAATATACCTACCTGGAAAGGAATAAGTTTATTCTAATTTCCTGTTTCCCTGTCCCCATATTAATAAGCCTATGGTTCTGCTTTGATTCAGTTATTCTTCACTAACAATGCAACCTGGTTTATTTTCTTTTCAAAGATTCTTTCCCTTTAGCTAAAGAAATTTGTTTTTTATCATTTCCTGCAGTTTTTAAAAATGGATGCATTGTTTTTATTTTACTTTGTGATTTATTAAGTTTGATATATTTCATTGAAATTATGAAGCTTTGATAAATGAATTAAACATTTTTGCTTTCAAATCCCACAACTGTTTTTCAGTAGTTTATAGCAGAAACTTCAATAGCATTCCAGTCACTTGGCCCACTAAGAGCTTTTTTTAACCTTTACATGTTTTAATCTATTCTGAATTGATACAACTATTGGCGCATGGTGAATAATGCCTCCTTATGTAAAAAAATAAAGCAAACTGTAATACCTTTTTCCTTTTAAGCTTGGAAAAGGAACTGTTCCATTCTAGCATTTTCCCTATGTGTTATTGTTTAAAATTCTTTGAAAGAAAGAATTAAACATTTAATCTGTTTCAGTATTCCTAAATTCTAATTATCTTATTGTGACTTCAGAATCAATGCTTTATAATTTCTGTATATCTAAATTATTCCCTGTTTCTTTAATAAAATAACAATTTATGACATGCTACATGCAGACTCTTTTCGTTTATTTTCTAGATCGCCTGCCATGGCTGGTGGATTATTTGCCATTGAACGTGATTTCTTTTTTGAGTTAGGCCTCTATGATCCGGGTCTACAAATCTGGGGTGGTGAAAACTTTGAAATATCCTACAAGGTAAACAATCATTTCAGAATGATACCAAGATTTTGGTAACAAAAAACCAGTATTGATATAATATCTTCGAACTCTCTAGCCACACCTGGGTTTTATTTCAGTTAAATCTTGCTAATAAAGTCAGAAATTGTATTTCTTTAGTGTGCTAAAATTTAATATAGCAACTTGGAACCTAATGAACATTTTACTATGGTCTGAAAAAATAATATGGTTCAGACTTACATTGCATTTTTTGGTTTTAATGTAAGACTACAAAATGAAATGAATCTCTAAAATAACTTGCAGACATGACTTCATAATTTGGAAAAAATCCAGTTCTTATAGTCTTGACTATTTTATTAATATTGAACATTACTTATATATTTTTTCTTCCAGATAAAATGTAACTGCTCATTTGATTTAATTAGGGAAGACATATTTCTTTGGTCATATTGGTAGTAATGCTGAGAGTGCAGTTCAGTTAAATGCTTTCTATATAGTGTTGATTTGGTAAAATCTCCTTGTATGTATATTCAGATTTGGCAATGTGGAGGAAAGCTACTGTTTGTGCCTTGTTCTCGTGTTGGGCACATATATCGTCTCCAGGGATGGCAAGGGAATCCACCTCCAGCTTACGTTGGATCATCTCCTACGTTAAAGGTAATGCTTATGTCCCTAAAATGTTATTAATATAAATCTGCTACATCATTTCATGTTAATAATTGAATTAAATTAAAGCTGTATAGGTTCACGCCAGATTTATTTACTTATTTAACGTATGACATACAATGTCAGGGAAATCTACACATGCTAGAGACACAAAGCAGTCCGGACAGTCTAAACTGCTAGTTCATTCTGTTTGGCACTTGCACATCTATCTTTGGTGCACTGCGGGGTGGCTTTACACCAGTTAGCTAGCGATGATCTGTCCCCGTCCACACACACACACAAACACAGCCAGCCGAGGGTTAAGGAAGCACTTGGCACACACCCAGGTCTTTATCTCCAACTTGGCAGCGATATACACACCGTCTGCCAAGTGCATTTATTTCCACAGAAACAGAAAGATAATATACTCAGCGTACAAGAGTCCAACAGAATTAATATTCCTCTCAGCAGTTTCGGACGATGCTTTAGTGACTATCCAAGGTTTATTTTTGTTCGTTACAGGGATCACTGGCCACCACCCTCTATTATATAGTCTCTGGGGTGTGGTCCAGTGACTCAGTTCTAATCCCTAGCACGCCTCCTGAGCTGCTGCAATCGTTTATCACGCCTTCGGAGGCATGCATCCAGGAATGACGTCTCTCCCTCACTCTCATCCGAGACACCTGTCTCCCGGCTAATCTCCTCTCCCTTGGCCGGCTCCTGAGACAGTGCCAGAGGGGAGGGGCCTGGAGAGGGAGGCCTGGCTGACTCCTCTTCCTCATGCTCGGAGCTTTCTTCCTCCGATGGGATAGGCTCAGAGGGCGGGGCCACAACAAGCGGTACCTGGGTTGATAGCTCTTCCAGGCTCCTCCTGTGGTCTTGCCTTACCTCATCTCGGATCACAATGCCTCGCAGCCGGCCAGGTCCAGCGCTGACTTCCACTGTCTGCACACATGAACTCAGCTAGGTTTTTCTCACCAAAGTGATATCATTTATCTACTTGCATGCCTTAGAATTGCTGGGTGGGCAGGAGTTAGGGTTCAAGTGATGGGAGCTCATTCCATCTCACAGAGCCAGGCCCGAGCCACCAGAGTGCAGACTACGCGCTGCATCCCCTCCACACCAGAAATGAATAGGAATGCAGAAATTCCTATTTGGCTATTCAGATATATTGCTAAACAGATCTAGATTGAACAGACAACTTCTGACTTTATTGGAGTAAAATAAAATAAAATTAAAGCTAATTTTAATCCTACAATTGGACAATTTTGCACATCCTTATAATTGTTTTCTAATTATCTATCCCTATTTAGTTAATAGATGAGCATTCAGTGATCCTAGACAACTTTTTTGCATTCTCTGGAAATCCATCTAAATTGTACTGCTGATACTTGACAGTTAAGTTTTAAATACAGCCTTTAAACTGTAAAACTTCTCCATCCCTAGTTTTATTAAATAAAAATACATAAAAAGTTTTCTATGTAATTGTTTATTAATTATTCTGTAAATTTATAATAGGACAATATTCTTCAGTCCCAACTTTCATATTGTTGCAGGAGATGTGACAAGAGATTAAACCTTCTTCATACTAGTCTTAAATTCATAGAGTGAACTACTTAAATCAATTTTGATCCACTGAAGATGCAAATTGACATCATTGTGTGAAATATTCCCTTCATTCATAATATCTTTTCTTGAATAAGAGATTGGAATAAAATTAGTCAAGTAAGATACAGATAGTTCTTGATATGTGACCACAATTTAGCCCAAAATTCCTGTTGCTAAGTGAGACATTTGTTAAGTGAACTTTGTTCCATTTTACAACTTTTCTTGCCACAGTTGTTAAGTGAATCACTGCAGGCATTAAGTTAGTAACACTGTTAAGAGAATCTAGCTCCCCTATTGACTTTACTTGTCAGAATGTCACAAAAGTTGATCACATACCCTGGGGATGCTGCAATGGTTATAAGTGTAAAAAATGGCCATAAATCATTTTTATCAGTGCTGTTGTAATTTTGAATGAACAAGTCATTAAATGAACTGTTGTAAGTCAAGGACCATCTGTAGTTGCTTTCCCTTTTTTTATATGTATTCATTAATTTTGTGTTTTACAGAACTATGTCCGTGTTGTCGAGGTCTGGTGGGATGAATTCAAAGATTATTTCTATGCTAGTCGTCCTGAAACAAAAGCACTAGCTTATGGTGATATATCAGACCTGAAAAAATTTCGTGAAGATCACAAATGCAAAAGCTTTAAATGGTTTATGGAAGAAATAGCCTATGATATAACTTCTCATTATCCTCTGCCACCTAGAAATGTGGAGTGGGGAGAGGTAACTACTCTTTCATCTAAGTCAGTATTTTAATACTCTCCTGAGCTAATACTAGCCTTGTCTATCTAAGAATGTATATTGGATGAGGAGGATATACCCTGTTTCCCCTAAAATAAGACATCCCGATAATAAGTCCAATCTGCCTTTTGAACATATGTGCTAAAATAAGCCCTCCCCAAAAATAAGCCCTCCCTGAAAATAAGCCCTCCCCGAAAATATTTAAATGCATGCGCAGCCGGTCCTCCGTATTTCCTCTGGTTAGGGTTAGGGAGACAGAGCTGAAAATCAGGTAAGACAGCAAGAGGAGCCCCATTTTGCTCCACACGCCCCAAAATAATAAGACATCCCTGAAAATAAGGCCAAGCACTTATTTCAGGGTTCAAAAAAATATAAGACAGGGTCTTATTTTCGGGAAAACACGGTAGGAATCTTGTAAGAAATAGGTGTTTTATATGTAGAAAACTAACTACAGTATTTAAACTGTTGGAACCATATTAGATCACATATTAAACCATATTAAATTAAATTCAGCTCTTCTGAACAAAACTAGTTTGTCAGAAAACTGTTTTTTTCAGGTAGGAGTTGCCAACCAACTAGAGATATATGTGCCATTATTGTTGCCTGAGCTGAAACTGAAAATTTAGATTTTTTTGTAAATCGTTGCAAAAAGTAGCAGATATTGATATATTACCATCAGATTTTAGGGATTATGGTCTGGAAGAGAATCAAAATGTATTAGTTGTATGAACAGAAAATTGCTTCCCAGCAAAACGAAAACACATTTTTAAACTAATTGTTATGGATAGAATAAGAATTATTTTTGTTATAGGCAAAGAACAGGGAGTTTATTTCAAATAAGTAATCTGTAGGCAAGATGTTAATGATGTGTGATATCATCCTATGAAGTAAAGCAAAAATGTAATTTCCCTGAATCATTTTCAGTAACTATTGCTTTTATTTAATTCTCTATACTTGGCAGATGTCAGTGGCCAGTTATTTGAATCAGTGAATGGCAAAATGGTCTTGGCAATAACTGCAAGCTTTATTTTAAAATCTTCCAGATTTTTGTCTTGTTTTTTCCGATTTTCTTAAGAAACAGTATTTTGCTGTTTGTCTCAATCTTTATCAATCTCATAAATGAGCATCATTATGAATAAACCACTTCTTTACTTACCCTTTCCTTTGCCATCTAAATTCAATTTCATAAAGACAATATTTATTATAACTCCCATTGGCTTATTTATTACAAAATACCGAATACAAAACTCTCCTCTGGAAAAAACACAAGGGCCATTCTCATGCAGCAGATATTTTCAATATATTTCATTAGACTTGGTTGATTATTGTGGTTGCTGCTGTGAGATAATCTTTAATATATAATATAGTTTGTGGAAATGGTGGAGAATATTAGGACAGATTCATTTATGTATGTCATTTATTGGGAAACCATGTTTTAGACAGTCAGTGGAATTTATAAAGGGAGGGTTCTCTGTGCTGATAATTGAGAGTTGAAAACAAGATTAGGCACAAATTCTCTTCCTTGTTTTTCATTTTAGTGCTCCATAATCCAGGGCTAAGGAACTTGTGGCCTCTAGAGGTTGGTGTACTACAGTTCATCAGCTTTTACTATGCTCCACAAAAAAAAAAGTTTTGGCTATAGTTCACCAATATCTGGAGAACCTTATGTTCCTCATATCTGAAGCTGCTTTGAGAGTGAACACAACATGCATTAATTATAAGGAGATTTACAGGGTTTACTTTGAATCTTTTGTTATTTGATATTCTATTTACCTTTATATATGCATGGGTTATATTAAGCTGTTTTGTTGTGCTTTACAAATAATAGTTTTCCATCTTATTTCTATTTATTATTAATTTGCTATATTGTAACAGTAGTGCAAATCATAAATGTATTTCAGATTAGAGGTTTTGAAACAGCATACTGCATAGATAGTATGGGTCATACCAATGGAGGCTTTGTGGAACTTGGTCCATGCCATAGAATGGGAGGAAATCAAGTAAGTAGAGTCAGATAATAGTTTCAGTTGTGAGCCAAAATATTAAATAAATTGCTTATGATTTTTAGATTGGAAGCTGCTCTCCTTTCCAATCCAAGAGACATTTTTGTGATATAAACACCATATCACAAATTTATTTTCTTATTTGTGTGTGTGCGTGTGTATGTATCGTAAGAGTTATTACTGTCCCATATTCCTTTCCCCAATAAATACTACATATATTGTAATCTCTTTTATTGAGTTATTTGAAATAGTTTCTTTCTTTAAAAAAATTGCTTTGAATGTAATGTATACAAGGAAACTGTTTATATGTAAAGAGATTTGGGTTGTAATTCTGCTTCGGTTTATATGATTTTGAAAAATAAACTAAAGCAGCCAAAGTGCACAAATTTTACCTTAACTACCTTAACTTTCATGACATGTAAACAGGAATAATATTCTCTCTATATATTTGAGTGCACTTAAGACTTAACAGTTTAGTTTCTAGGTACCCTTCCCTTATTTTAGTCTTTCAAATAAACTTTTGTTCTGAAATTTTGCAGAAGTCCCAGAACCTTCTGCAGGAAATTGTTTGTTTGAACTAATTTATATATATAAAAGCGAAAATCACTCATGCCATAATCGCGACATCTCCAGAACCGTAAAGCCTACAAACTTGAAATTTGCCACGTATGTTCCTCTTGGCTTCTAGGTACTCACTAAGAAAGGATTTTTCGAAAGGACCATCAGAGCATTAGTATTTCCTATATTATTATTAACACTTCTGATGCCAAGGAGTTCTACTCCCCCTCCCCACCTCAAAAGAAATCTGTTCCAAATGCAAAACACAAGCAGAGGACAGGAGCTTCGCTTTCAGTTTTACTTTCACAGCAGCAAGCAGCTTTACTACAGAACAGTTGAGCTAAACCACACCCAACCTCCTTCCTATCTCCTTCTTGCGCACACAGCAAATACTGTTTGAGTTTCCAAACATCCCTAAACTCTCTCACACACTGACAGGTTGCTAGCCAAATGAATACCAATGGATGCTGTGGGCTGGGACATTCTACTCCCCCTCCCCCTCTGTTCCAACTGCCAGTTGCATTATATTAACACACTCTGATGCTACGGAGTTACACATTCTACATTGTTTCGGCCTGTGTCAATTTATCAATCCCAAACACATATGCGTATCCAAGTTATTTCAATTATGTGCATCAAATTATAGATTGTAAATATTGCAATTGTGCTTGTTTCATACAATCTTAATATACTTGATATGTGTGGTATAGTAGTTAAGTTTCTTAGCTAGGAATAGATAGATACACTTTCAAATCTATCCTCAAATGGTAATATTTAGCATATAGCTTTCTAATTTTTTGTCATAATTATTTATTTTTGCCAATATATATTTAAGAATGCCTCTTTAGTTATATTTATAGGCCAATTTCAGTCTTACTTGTATGCATCAATATGTTTTATATGTTAACATTTTTCAGTTATTAGAACAAAATATGCATTGTTTTTAATATTCATTTTTAGCTCTTCAGAATTAATGAAGCTAACCAACTCATGCAGTATGACCAATGCTTAATTAAGGGACCTGATGGATCAAAAGTTATGATTACACATTGCAATTTAAATGAACACAAGGAGTGGCAGTACTTCAAGGTATCTGAATAGTGCTGAAAGTTCCATTAGGATAATGATAATTAATTCTGTTTATGAATTTTAGATAGATTTAAATCATAGCATAAAACAGGTTGAGCTAGACATGAAATATTATCTTCGGATGAATAGGTTCATTTATGTAACTGCCTTTGTCCATCATATAAATTATTAGTGGCTATGAACAAAATTTAATGAATTTATCCACAACATAGTATAGTCCTAACATATATGTATGAATGTATGTATTATTTTGTGACCTAAAAGGCAAGGTGGACGGGTAAAGCTTCCATTATACAATACAATGCAAAATTATAATAATGAAATAATGCAATTAGCAATTAAGCAGTAAAAGTAATAATATAACATTCATAGGATGCTGGTACCAGTGATTACATTTAACTCTCCAAAGGGATTGGAAAGTCTTGTAGGTTGGGATATTCCTCATTTCCAGGGCAAGCTACTCCAGAGGAAAGAAACTGTGACAGAGGATGCCCAAATTGCTATGTGTATTGGTAAATGGGGTCTTTTAAGCAGGGGCTTCCTAATAGTTTGTGTGGGGGAGCAAAAACCCTGTTTTCATACCATCCCTGGGCTGAGCTGCCTATACTGTCAAGGCTGTAAATAATCTTCATCTTCTAGAACTTCAGATTTATCACTTACTCAGTAGCCTACCCAAAAAGAAAGGTTAAACATAGAAAGTTGTTTAATTCTGATGTACCAGATTTGGCCTCTTGAGTGGGCAAACTAGTGCCTCATTAAGGACCTCTGGCATCTCCTCTCAAAAAGGTATTGACGACAGCCCAGAATCAACTCATAGTTCTTTCCTTCACAGCAAGAGGGAAGGAGTTCAGTCTGAGAGTGGTAGAGTCACGAATACAGAGGACTTTGTGTACTCCTGGGAGTGAGAATTGAGAAGGGAAAGTTGATCTCACAGAGTTGAATCAGTATGTGGTGGGATGGATTGTGTGGATGAATAAAGTGGGCAGGATTGCTTTGTTAGTGTTTACTGCATTGTTTCTCTTGTTATGCATGTTTATTTATTGTTGTGTATCTAGGATTAGGAAGAGGAGCAATTATTAATTAAAAATAGTCCTCAATTTACAACTGTTTGAAGTTCTAATGAACTTCCCCGGTATTATTTGCAACATGTAAAATATATCTCTCTCTCACACACACGCACACACACACACACACACGTACACACATATTGTGGTTATGTTTTGGGCACTTGACAGCCAACTGACATTAAACTGTTTGTAATGTCCCACACAGTGTTGGGTTCTAACCAGTGTTACCACCGGTTCGCTTCGCGCACTCGCTTTACCATTATAAAATTGAGTTTTATGTTTCCACCCTTCAGACCTGGTCCAAAAGGAGATTGTGATAGATGGTATAAAGTCATTTGAGGACCAGGAGGGTCACACTATTCCTAACCAAATCTTACAACAGACAACTTTTACTTAGTTGCTTACATACCTAACCCCCAAAGCTTTAGTCACATAATTTTATTTTCTTGCTCAAAAAGGAATATTTTTATTGGGTCTGTTTTTTCTTTTGTGTATATATTGCTAATACAATTGATTTGAATTCCTTTGTATAATGAGGTTGCTCCAACAAATAGTTCCTAACCTATATTCCTACTCTGCTGTTAAGAAGTTAAAGAAAAACTAAATTTGATTTGTTGTTTTTAATTAAAAACTAATAGCATATTGCTTTTGCTTTTCAGAATCTTCATAGATTTACTCACATCTCATCAGGGAAATGCTTGGACCGTTCAGAGGTTCTACATCAAGTATTTATTTCAGATTGTGACTCAAATAAAGCAACACAAAAATGGGAAATGAACAATATCCTAAGTGTGTAGACAAAATAGCTGCATCTACCTACTGACAAATATAATTTGTATAGAACTGAAAATAACCTGAAAACTGCTGCAACTGTTAACTTGTATAGCTGGGAGCCTGGAATGTCCTGATCTGGATGAAGGACTTAGATGAACTGTGATAGATTTATCATCTGCAGTTAATGTTTACAAAAACTGCTCTTACCTTAAACGTCAATAGATGTTTACATCTCTTTGCTTTCTTTTAGGACGTTGTTTTAAGATGCTCTGGCTTATCATTTAAAGTGCTTTGACTTGTTTCACTGAAACAAAGTTAGAAGCACAAGCTTGGATCCAAAGTAGTAGAAGGTTGTTTCTACATGGGTAAGAGGTCATTTCCTTTTCCTCTTATGGTGACAACCCTATCCTAGAGCCCTCTTTAAGGACCTTCTGTAAACTTTCTGAATGGTGTAAAGGGCTGAAAATCAGCAACTTCCCAGGTGTGATTAAGTGCCTTTCACTTGGGCACAAGCAAAAGAATTGGATCCAAGTATTTGTTGTCTTCTTTGGGATTACACTCAGGGGTTTGCAGGCAGTTTGTTTTTTTAATTCCAACATTCACACTTGAAAAAAAACTTGGTATATAATATGGGGATTATTGACTTGTTATATATTGTTTTGTTTTTACATTTTACTAAGCACTGCCACAGGTTTATAGCCAAGGTGGCCTTTTTTCACAGTCATGCTGCTTTTTTGAAAAAAAGAATCTTCAGTATATTTAGTGCCTCCTTAATTTTTCCTCCTTAACTAACCAGAGAAATTCATTACAGCATAAATATATTGAAGTCTCTCTTTTCTTATTAGAAACGGAAAATTTGCAATGCCCCCATTATGTTTAAATAATGTTCTAATTTTACTAGTATACTCTTTATTCCTAATTAGTACATTAAATAATTTGTGCATAAAGCATACCAGTAATGTGATATGAATATCCAAAATAGTAATGTTAAAATATCTTGAACATTTTGAATGATTAAATTGGTGTAAAAGGTAGCACTTAAATCTATGAACCATTTGTGTGAAATAGATTGAAATAGATTAAGTCTTCTCTAATTTGATGCCTCAAGGGGAATTTGTTGCAGATACAAGCACTAATTTCCCTGCTATATTATCCCTTACATAACAAAATATGTTAGAAATGAAAAATTTCTACATCTGCCTAATATGGAATAATTCAGTTATCTAGTTCAGTTTATAAATTTGAATCCAATTTCTTAACAATTTCTAAATTATTTTGCAGGCAGTATTTGGGAAGAAATCTATCCATGTATAGTAGAATTGGAGAGTGGGTTTTTGTTTCTTTGGTACATAATTTGAGAACTTCATTCTTCTAAATAAATAGTTTAATTAAGAGATGTTTTGAATAATTAGGTTTTCCCATAGCATGAAGACAAAATCAAACATATAAAATTAAATATATACAGCACATTAGCATTGTGCTATGACTCTGTTTCAGTTTCAGAAATGTATTTGAGAGAATTCAGTGATACAAACATAATAGCTGTCTTCATTTTTTATGTATTTCTTTTCCTGAGAACATGAGAGCTGTAGAGGGAAGCTGTGCAATCTAAAACTGCCTTAGAATTGCATGTAGGTTCTATAATCACACTCCTGTACTTCCTGAATCACTTTTTCCAAACTATTTTGGAAGCACTGCTCAGCCCTAACTAATTAAAAAAAGAATACTTAAAAAAAAGTTTGGTTAAGAAAATACATTTTTGATGAGAATGAAAAAATATCCAAATTAAATATTCAGTCTTAAAGAGTGATTTCAATAATTACATTGTGGGTCTGGTGTGAAGTGCTGCACACCAGTATTCTACAGAAATACTTAATGCATAGAATCAATGAATTCAGATTCATTTTAAAATTAGATGGTTTTTAAATGTTTTTATTTTGAATTACAAAAATGAGCGGCGTGGTAGCTTAATGGTGAAGACGCTTGTCTCCCACTCGGAAGGTTGAAAGTTCAATCCTAGGTGGCAGCAGATGTTTCCTAGAGTGCAAAAAAAAAAAAGAATATCTACTACAAACTCAGTAGCATCAGTAAGGGGATCCAACCAGTAAATGCACAGCTCTGTCCAGTTGCCCCGACCCTAACCCGAATTAAAGGATTACAGGGTCATAAATAGGGAGTTTATTGAATTACAAAAATAATTTCAGTAATAGAAATCTGTGGCACTGATTTTATCTACCTAAAAGAGAGTGATGGAGATTCTTTATTTAAAAGGATAATTGCTGACCTTAAGACCAGATACATATAATCTAATTTCAACTATCTGTTTTTTGGGTATCAAAAAGTGTTAATAACTTAGAAGTAAAAGTGGAAGAAGATGGGGAAAGGGTGATAAAATTTCTGGGCACATTTAATATTTCCTTGAATGAAATTTCATTTTTAAATATATATTAATCATATTACTATGCATAAGTGAAAGAGATTGCACGTTGTGCAAGTGTGTATGTGCTAAATGGGTATGTGTGCAATCCATTTAAAATGAAACTGTATGTGAGAATGGATCTGTATTTTTAAAAGTAAATCTTATAACATAAGCCGTTACTCCTAATGACTTTTCATACTGTAACCTGCTTTTTAAGAAGTAGATCCCATATTCTTGCTCTGTAAGTTGATCACTATGCATTTTTACTTATTTTATAAATTTGATTTATGCAGATTTTGATACACTGTATGTTTCTGTAAAGATTGTATAAATCTAAAAAAGTTTTACAAGAAATAATCTCGGGATTTTTCTGTATATCTTCTGGGCTGCTTGTTTTTTAGATGAAGAAATAAATTTTAACTTGTGGGTTTATAATACGTTTGCACCAATAATTGATCATGTTCATAATTAATCAAAATATTTTGTCAAAGTATATATATTTAATGCATACATGAAAGAAGAATTTATGGATGGATGGATGGATTGTTGTGCTGCCTCATCGTAGTGGGTGGGTTTTGTTTCCGGGATGAGATGAACAAACAATAACAGGAGTGTGTGCCAGAAATTTATATTTCCAACAGGGTTACCCAACTCATGAAGATCATCCTAGCTGCCGAGTTAAAGCAAGTTGACACTTAATCTTGGCCATAAGCAGTATAGGAAGTTAGAAGTGATTATCAATTCATACTACACAGGAGAAGGCAGTATCAACCACTCTGTATTTTTACCAAGAAAACTACATAATGTCAGAGATATATGAAGTGGAAAATGAGTTTACGGTTAGAAATAAAACATTATGCCTTAGAAATTTGGCTGAGTCAATCCAGGTGGAGGTGATGGCTTACTTCAGTGGTCAACCCAGGTCCATCTAATGCAAAATCTGAATAATTCAGATTTCAACTGAGGCAAATTTGGAACAACATTCTAGGCAAATACGGTGTTTCAGGGACCCTTCTGCTTCTCTTTTGCATGTGGGACGCGCAGCATCCTGTCCTTTGCATTGTATACCTATGCTGCCTATCTTCAAAGCACCTTGTTTCCCCATAGTTTGAATTTACAGCAGATGCACCCTATATTTTTACCCTCACCATCCTGCATTCAGTTCTCATGCCTTTCTACCACCACTGCCATTTTCCTTGTTATTTCCGTCCTGGAATGCCTTTGGTAAAATATCCAGCTCTGAACCAACAAAGCACATAAGCTTTGATCTATGCAGAAGCATACGCAATCCATACATGCAATAATGTGTTTATTTCTAAGACAATATTAAAGTACTCATGTTTTCCTGAAAATAAGATCTGGTCTTATATTTTTTGGGGTTCCAAAATAAGCATTAGGGTTTATTTTCAGGGAAACATGATTTCAGGTTGATCAGCCTGGCTGGGCACCCCTCCAGCATACATGCAAAAGGTGCCAAGTGCACGGGAACTGACATCCAGCAGCAACTGCAGCCTGTAGGTCCCTTGGTCAGAGAATTCTGGAGCTGTGCAGCCCATGCAGCGCAGGTGACTTGATTACTTGATCCAAGCAGCAGACGGCAGAGGCACGGGAGAGAGGCAAGCAACCCAGACACGCACTGCAGGCAAGCTGGTAGGCAGTGGGACGGAATGGGCGGGCAACCACAGGAGGCTTGTCTTTGGTCTCTCAGCTTGCCTGAAATCCCTGCGGTGCATCTGGATTGCCTGCCTTCCCTCCATGTTTCTGCCTCACCTGCAGGGCTGCTGTGCAAAGATGACCCTCCCATGGCTAGCCAGCCACTCTGGCCCTCCATCTCTCAGCTTTTCAAAGGTGTTTTCGGATCATGTGTCTCCCCCCACCTCTGCCTGCTCCTTGGACAGGTGATCAACACCCCTGCTGTAGCTATGCAGGCTGCAGCTGCTGCTGGATATTGTCAGCCCCCGCACGTTCGCTGCCTCCAGTACTGGCCATGCCCCCCCCAGCTGATGTCAGTCTTAACTAGGGCTTATTTTTGGGGTAGGGCTTACATTAGGAGTACACTAATCAGGCTCAAAATCTTATTTTGGAAAGCAATTTATTGTATGAAGGCAACTCTTGCATCAATTTGCACTTGAAGAAAGTTGCTGTTTGTGCTGACGTGTGCACTATTATGTGTATTGGTAGAAGGGAATTCAACTTTCAAGTACTCACCTGTTTTAAAAAGCAGGTATTAAGGTAAGAATCAATGTGATTTTGAGACTTGCTGTACTACAAAATGGAAGTGTTAAAAATTTAAGAATTGCATTTCCCAATCTAGCCATTCTGTAGATGACTCAAATATTTTTTTTTAATTGAAAAAGTTTTTCAAATACAAATTTTTCCCCCCTTTCCTCCCCCCTCCTCCTCCCCTCCCCCTGTGGCTTCTTCAAAGTAGAACCCAAATTCATAACAGATTATATAATACTTTACCATCCCCTTGCTCCATCCCCCATATGCTGACCCTTTCTTTCTAATAATATTATTATATCCCCCTTATACTATACATTTCAAAATAACATTCTACTATAACATTATATAATAACTCCTAATTTAGCATAGTAATATTATTATATCCCCCAATTTAACAATTTCTACTCATAATCTACTCTCTTTCTCCTCCCCATACATATATCTCTTAAATCAAATCTTTTTTGTATATTAATATGACATTTCAAAGCAACCTTCCACTATAAAACTATATAATAAATCCTAATTTAACATTTATTCAACTCATAGTCTGCCCATTTCCTCCACCCCCATAGATATATCTCTTAACTCAAATCTTTTACATATATTCATATCTAAGCATAATATCCCTTTTCTTCAACTAAACAATCAATAAGCTAACCTATCTCCACCCACTTTCCTACAGGACTACCATACATAATAGTTCTTAATATCTTTATTCTTCTGCCCACACCACTAAGAAGTATTCCCTTATATAAATAAAATCCTCAAATGACTTTAAACTTGTAATCCATATAATATCTTCTATAGTGTCTTTCAACTGGATTGTTAACTCCATCACCCATATTAGGGTAACATCACATCCTAATTCCAACAGTATGTTCGGTATCTTCAATTACCATCTGCCCCCATCAACAATAGATGTCTTGATATATAAAAAACAACCACCCGAGTGACTTTATATTTGTATTCCATATAGTGTCTATAGAAGTGTCTTTCATCTAAATTATTAATTCCAACCACCGTAATAGGGTAACAACCAGATCTTCTGCGTGCCCCAATCCCATAACTCTCTTGCCTTGTAGCTCAGCATAAATGTAATACATTTATCAAAGAATCCAAAATAGATAATTCCAATCCATTCAGTTTAAGGCCCTTTTCACATCCCAAAAGTACAGCACTGCAGAGTCTGTCACTCTCCTCAGGATAATATAAATCAATACTTTGCCTCAGCTATCTTTTCATATATTCGATCATCTCTTAAGTAACTGGCATTACACTGTTGTTTAGTTTAAAAGTTTTTGTTTTTGTAAGACCTGCTTCTTCTTTTCTTGACTTTTTGTGGGTTAGATCTCTATCCTGATTTCCTTTCTATAAATTGTATATCAACTATTTGGTTTTCATGCTGATCTATAACTTAATCTTGTTGGTTTTGCTTTTGTGGCTTAAATCTCCATTCTGGTTTCTTTTCTATGAGTTGTATGTCAACTGATTGATTTCTATGCTGGTCTGTAACTTGATAAATCATCACATTAGAATCCAAAGCCGCCTCTCTTGTATTTATAAATAGTCCAGCTGTAACCTCTGAAGGAGAATCCAGAAGCGGCTCATCTACAAAGTCCTCTGTAACTTCTTGTTTTTCCATTACTTCCATCTCCTTCTGCTTGTCCTGAATTTCTATCTCTTGTTGATTTTGCTTTTCTTTATTCCACTCATGTATTATACCTGAAGATGTTGAACCCATTTTAAGAACCTTACAGTAAAATTCTTCTGCTTTTTCAACAGTATTTAGTTGATATCTTTCTCCTTGATATCTCAATATTATGCCAGCTGGGACATCCCACCTGAATGAGATGTTTTGTTTCTTTAGCTCAGTCACCAAAAATCCAAATTTCTTTCTATCTTTTAATATCTTGGGCGGCAACTCTTTATATACCCAGATCTTTCTTCCATACAATTGTAGAGTGGAATTAAAAGATTTTTGCACAATATCATTTCTTATTTCTTTATCTGTAAAATAAATCACCACATCTCTAGGCAATTGCCTTTGCTTTGCAATCCAAGAATTTACTCTATAGGCCTTGTCGATCTTACAAGATACCTCCTCTGGATGAACCTTTAAAATCCCGGCCAGAACTTCAGCAGATATTTTTCTTAAATCATCTCTATTATTTTCCTGTAACCCTCTCATTCTAACCGCAAATTCTGTGAGCCTGTATTGCATCATTGTAACTTCTTTTTCAATCCCTTGTTTTATATTTTCTGCATTGTAAGTCTCGTGATCAGCTTCCTTTTTAGACTTTACTTCAGAGCTATTGTCTTGAATATTTATCAAATCATTTTCCATTCTTTGTATTTTATTGTTCAAATTATAAATCTTATCATCAACTTCCTCCATTTTAGACTCTAATAACTTGATATTTGTATCCATCTTTATAACTATTTCTGAAAAAGCATTAGTCACTGTTACAATCTTTCGTTGTAAGTTATCATACTTTAATTGTATGAATTTTTTAATTTCCTGCCTACATTTTTCAAAATTCTGGTTCACAATCTCATCATGTCTTGCCATTTCCTTCAAAACAAATTCTTTTAAATTAAAACCATTCTTCTGAGTCTGTAAACTCGAAACTTGTTCACATAATTGTAAATGGGGGAACCACCCCCCCCCCGGCTGCTTGTTTGTCTGGCTTTGTTAATTTTAACGCCATCCTACCACACAGACAAACTCTTTTTAAAGAAAGAGGACTTCTCTCCAAACAAGATCAATATCAAATCTCCAAGAAAAAAAGAAACTTAGAATAGAAATTTTTCTTTTCTCTATTCTAGCCAGCACTGTTTGTTCCGCTACTTTGTAACTTGTTACGGAAGGACTTTCACTTTCGGCTACTTCTCAAGCCTCAGCGGTCGCCATTTTAAGCTTTTTTTTCCCTTCACTTAGAAACGCTTATAAAATCGTTGAAAATACTTGCAATTTAGGGTCCCAAGTCCAGATCTCATCCTCTTTAATTAAACAATCTGTTGTTTTTCGTTGAAAGGTTTGATCTCGTTGCCTGGCTCTGCAAAAGGCAGAGGTCTCCCGAAGCCCGGAGCAGCGGCGAAGGAAATAGGGAGCCTCATCCTGCTTCGTCCCCAAGAGTAAAAGAAAAACTCTAGGGACTTCGCAGAGGGCTCTACCTGCCCTCGCCTGCTCTATCTCACATTTCCTTATG